GTTTTAATTACAGAAATTAATTTAGAATTATATAAATTAATCGGAAAATAAAATAACGATGGATTAATAAAATAACTAGAATTCAGTTTCAGTGGATATTTTTGTGAATTACCGGAATTATTTGTGATTTTTTTTGGAATTAGGTACATACTAATTTTTTTTATAGCAAAATTATCTACCTTAAATATCTTATTAAAACTATCGCAATTAATTTAGAATTACAAAAATCATTTTAGAATTACGAAAATTAAGTTGGAATTGCGGAAACTATAAGTTGGAATTACAAGAATTAAATTGGAATTATCCGAATTAATCTGAAAACAATGGAATAACGATGTTATATCAAAATTTTCGGTAATTATTTCTGAAATTACAAGAATTATTTGTGAATTACTAGTTTTTCAAAATTCCTGTAATTTTTTTGAAATTTTTTGTTTTTGCCTTTTTCGAGTAATTAAGCATGTTTTTGAGATAAAAATAATTCTTTTTTTCGAAACAATATAAAATTTCCTTAAAAAATACCAAATTTGATCGAAAATAATGTTATTTCACTTGTTTTAACCGATTTAACTTGCAAAAACAGAAAAAAAACACAAAATTTGATCAAAAATAAAACTTTCAAGCATGTTTTCCATTTAAATTTTAGGTTTTTTTACAAAATTTCTCTAAAAAAAGCACCACATCAATATTTTAGCTAGAAACGCAAATTATGATTTCGCACAATTTCATTAAAAACGAGACGAAAATTTATAAATTAGGGCTAGAAATTCCATTATTTTTGACTTTTTCAAGTACGTTTTTGAGATAAAAAATAAAGTTTTTTCAAACAATTTCTTTAAAATTGACTAAAAAAATACAAACTGGATTAAAATTGAATTATTTTAACTCGTTTCGCTCGATTTATTTTGTTTTTGAATTAAAGACTCAATTATTTTGTTTTTGCTTTTTTTGAGTAATTAAGCATGATGTTTTTGAGACAAACACCTAAAAAATTACCAAATTTAGTCGATTTAAGTTGTTTTTTAGCAAAAATAGAAAAAAACACAAAATTTGGTCAAAAATACATGTTTTTCGATGAAATTTCAGGTTTTTCAAAAAAACAACAAAAATAAATAAATAAAAAACTTACTAAACATAATTAGTTGCGCAAAATTAAAAAAAATTATACAGTGTCAGTTTTTAAAGCTTGGATTAAAAGTGAGAACTGTCATAGTAACAATTTTTTCCTAGTTATCCCAATTTAATCTTCCAAAAATATCAAAAGAGAAAAAAAACAAAATAGTTAAATACCCGGTCCTGATCAACGATTCAGCCGAGTTTGAG